GAACAGTACTTGCTGCTCCTGCAGAGGACCTGGGCTCTGTTCCTAGCACCCACTCTGGCTCGCCATAACTCTAACACCAGGGGACCAAAAAGCCTTCCTCTAACTTCCGAGGCACCAGCACACATGTGGTGTACCTACATACATGCAGACAAAACATTCGTACAATAAATAAGTCTTTAAAAACTAGAGTTAAAACTGTATTAACCTGCAAATTGCCTTGAAGTTTTAAACCAATAAATTCTTACTGTAAGTTGCTATACATTTCTCTATGATTTATTAATGCATGAATAAAATATTTTCCTAAGCAAAGCCAAAAGAAGATAAAGACTATTTCAAGTACTTCAGAAATTTCCTCAGTCTGCTAAAGTACTCTATGAGCAAGGTGATACAACCATCCCTACTTTACACATAAAGAAACCAACACAATTTCCTTTTCTTTTCTGGGTGTGTCTTTTGTCATACTGGGGATTGACCCTAAGGCCCCATGTATAGTAGAAGCCACTGAGTTTAAACACGGAATTTTTTAACTTTTTATTTCAAAGTCTCGCTAAGTAGACCAGGATGGCCTTGAACTCACTCTGTAGTCAAGGCTAGCTTTGAATTTGTGATTATCCTGTTTTAACCTCCTCTCAAACTGAGAATACAGGCCTGCAGCACCAGGCACATAGCACAGAATAAATAATTTCTCCAGCACCACATGGCTGATATCAGAAGTCTTATTTACATCTAAAACACACCCTCTGTTATGGTAAACTCCACCAATTTTAGACTATAAAATTGATAATCTGTACCTTAAGTGTACAAAGATATGTGGGTATATTTTTATTAATGTTTACACTATTTTCATGGTAAAAGTGGTGGTAAGGGAAAAACTATAATTTAATCTCACTTATAGGGTGAGTGTTAAATAAGATGTTCTATGGTATTATCTCAGTAAATTCTTTGTTTAAGATTTCTTTATTTTCTTTTTAACTAGGTATTTCCGCATGTGAGTGTACGCACATGAATGTAGTGCCTACAGAGACCAGAAACAGCCAGCGTTGGATCCCCCAGAACTGGAGCTGTGAGCTGCCCAACATGGATGCCGAGAACTAAACACTGACTGCTCTTCCAGATGTCCCAAGTTTGATTCCCAAAGTCCTTAATGGGATCACAACTGTCTGTAACTCCAGACTTAGGGGGTCCAACGCCCTCTTACGGCTTTCACAGGCACTGCACACACATGATGCACAAACATACACACAGGCAAAACACCTATGCACATAAGATAAAATTAAAATGCAAAAACTTAAATATATGCATTTCATTATAAACATGGCTATATTAGCTTTCACCACTTTAATTACATTTATTACACTCATTATTCCATGAAGACCATTTACCTTTAGCTGTCTGAAAAATGTTTCCTTTTTTCTAGTGAAATATCTGATGTTTATATTTTAATACACTTGAAAATGAATAAAAAATATGTTAATCCCTCATTACGTTTGGAGAAATTCTTCTGTTATCCTGCACTAGCTTTCCTGTCTCTATAAGGAGAACACCTGACAGAAACAACTAAAGCGAAGGGAGGTTTGCTTATCTCAGGTTCAGAAGTGTCACTGCATCATAGCAAGGAGGGCCTGGTGGGGCAAAGCAGCTTATGCCATGCAAGCCAGGAAGCAAAATGCACCAAATGTCAAGTTATATTCTATAACACACAATTTCAGATTTTATATGGAAACACAGAAGACCAAGAATAGCCAAAACACTCCTACACAGAAAAGGCAATACTGGAGACAACACAATACCTAATCCTTACTACACTAGAGAGATCCAGTAACAAAGCAACATGGTGCTGATAAAGTGTGGTGAGATTTTATCTGTGCCCTCCAGTAAAGTTTATCTGAGGATCAGAGGAAAAAGTCAGCCACTATAGTAAACACAGACGTCAGGCAGTGGTAGCACACAGCTTTAATCCTATCACTCGGGAGGCATAGATCCGTCTGGATCTCTGTGAGTTCAAAGCCACACTGGGAACAGAGCCAGGCGTGGTGGCACACATCTTAAATTCTAGCACTAGTTAACCATAAAGGTCTGGAGGTCTGTACAGACAGACAGGAAGTGACAGAGCTGGGCTGAAAGAGGAAGTGATATAGCTGGGCAGAGAGAGGAAATGAGTTGGCAGAACAGAAAGGCATATAAGTGTGGGTATACAGGACGTTGGTCTCTTTGGAAGCTGTGGAATTGGTGAAGTGAGGTTAGCTATGGCTTTTCCTATTCCTCTGATCTCTCAGGTTTTAACCCTGATATCTGGCTCTGGGTTTTTTTTATTAATAAGACCTTTTAAGAGTTGTCTACAGACATAGAAACAGACATACAAATCAAGGGAACAGAAGACCCAGATACAAACCCACGTAGGCCTAGCCACCTGACTTTTTACAATATTTCAAAAACATACATTGGAGAGAACACAGCCTCTTCAATAAATGGTGCTGGGGAAAGTGAATTTCCACATGTGGAAAATTAAACTAGATTCATATCTTTTACCTTGCACAAAAAAAATGTATCAAAAATTTTAATGTAAGACCTGAAGCTTAGAAACTAGTAGAGGGAAATAATTGGCAAAAAGACTCCAAGATCTAAACAAAAGGAAAGGTTTTCTGAAAAGTATTCCAGTGGCAAAAGAAATAATTTTAAGAAGTAATCAATTGGATTACTTATAAATAAAAAGCTGCTGCTCAGCAAAGAAAACAATCACCAGAGTAGACAGCTCATAGAATTGGTGTGTGTCAATTATAAAGAGATAGTGAGTTAACATCTAGAATTATGAAGATCTGTAAAATTAACCACCAAAAAAGCATCTAGTCAATAAATGCATTGATGATCTGAATAGACAGTTCTTGAATGTAGAAATACAGATGTAAGTACTAGAAAATGTATTCATTGTCTTTCACATGTATTCACATGCCATCAAGGGAATGTGAATTAAAACCAATTTGAGAGTCCATCTCAGCCAGAGCACAGGAGCTATCTTTAAGAAAGCAGATTACCACAAATCCTAGAGAGGACAAAGGGAAAGAGGAGTCTTACATGTTTTGGGGACTAGAAATTGATTCAATCACTATGGAATTCAGTGTGGCGTTCTCAGCAAACTAAAAATAGGACTGCTGAGTGACAGAGGATACCACAGAGGTACTTACACATCCATGTTCCTGCTACTGTTCACTATAGGTAAGAATTTAAACAAGCTTGGATAGCCATCAACAGATGACTAGAAAAAGAAAATGTGGAACACACACAAAATGGAATTATTTTTAACTGCAAAGAGAAATGAAATCACAATAGTTACAGGAAATGAAAATACTATGTTTTTCTCTTATATACGGATTTGAGAAGAGGGGGCCAATAAAACAGGGTGTGGGAAAGGCTAGGAAAGACAGCGAGAGAGGGGATAATAACAAAGTACAACTCACACACGCATGAAACTGCCATAGTGAAACTCACTGAATAACTTTTAAAAAAATAATTTTAAAACAATGTGGCTATCACATCTATTTATTACACTGAATCCAAGCACTATTATTATGTTCTTTCAAAAACTTACATTTTTGCTTTGAATCCATAAAACCAAAATTCTTAATTTAATTTTATTTGAAACAGCCTGAAGGAATCTTATTATTTTCTATTTATCTAAAATTATATATGTGTGTAATATTTATTTATGTATTAATTTAATCTTTTTAAAAAATTAAAATTTTAATTTTATTTCTACTTCAAACCCAGCATGTTAATATTTGGCTAATATATTAAATATGCTCATGGACTACCAACATCAGTGGCCACACTTAAAAATAATCTGAGAATCATAAGCTTCCTGAGAGAGGAGCCTAGGTTTAGATCCCTGAAATTTTAATGAAATGATTCTCATTTAATGAAATGACTTCTCTTTAAAATTTAAATTATATCTCACATTATCATCCCTCTGTGCTTAGAGTTCCCTAAGCAGGGAAGTCTTATCAGGTCAGCTCACACTAATGTTACTGCTAATCCATCATAGTGACTATGACTGGTCTACGGTACAGCTCACCCAAAGCATGGCAACATTTCTTAAGACTCAGAAAAGAACAGTCATCATCATACCTTCCTAACACATACATGCACATAAATAAACACAACCTGAGTCAAGGAAAACAAACAGATTTTAAAATTACATATATCACCAAATGAGATGTGACATTTCCCACGGGCTCAGCTATTATTGCTCAAGCTTCTGAAACTGACTGCCAGAAGACCAAAACCAAGTAACAGGATCTCCATTACTTTAAAAAGAGGAAACTCGCCGGGTGGTGGTGGCACATGCCTTTAATCCCAGCTCTCGGGAAGCAGAGGCAGGCGGATCTCTGTGAGTTCAAGACCAGCCTGGGCTACCAAGTGAGTTCCAGGAAAGGCGCAAAGCTACCCAGAGAAAACCTGTCTAAAAAAAAAAAGGAAACTCTGGGCTGACAACATGGCTAAGAGGTTAAGAGTACTGGCTGCTCTTTCCAAGGACCCTGGATCAATTCCCAGCATTCACATGGTGGCTCACGACTGTCTGTACTCCAGAGGATCCAACACCCTGTTCTGGGCCCTCCTGGCACCAGGAACACACATGGTACATCGATATATACACGGCGGCAAAACATCCACACACATTTAAAATTTTTAAATTAAAAAAAATAAATAAAGAAAAAAAAACTAATGGTTTGCTTTTCATAGGAAAAACAAATCACAAAGGGGGTGGGGGGGGAATGGAGTAGATACTTCGGCCAAAAATTTCCTTTATAAATAAAGACAAAGTTTGTCATCAAAATTTACTTTCATTTACTGTGTCATTAAATACCAATTTAACAATCTCTCTGTGGCTAAATAAAAAACAGATGTATTTTCCTCCAAGACAACTGATTAAAATTTGTACCATAAGGAATTTCTAGGCATTTGTTTTTAAGTGTACGTTGCACAGACATCAAAAGTGATCATACCTGTTTTACTAATGACGTCTTGCAGCTCGACCATAGAACTGACAATCCCAGCAAGAAGGTCAGAACTGGTAAACCAAGTGAGTGCTTGTAAACAACGTAACTGCTCCCTCTGATGCTCTGCAGAAACGTAAGTACCCATTATGAAATGCTGTAAGTTATTAAAATGCCATTTAAATTTCCTAGCAGTGTTCCGGTGCTTAAGGAAATCAGACTGTATGCCTACGGCTCCCTCGTACAGAGAATCTAGTTGCATCTGACTAACCTAACACTAACGAACAAGCATCCGAAAGGACAGACGTCTCCTTTCGTTTTGGTTGTATGACAACAGCCTGATTCTTAGCAGCTGCATCAGGGTTGAGAGTGCAATGGCAGAGCACTTGTTTCCTGCAAGTTAGCCTTAGGCTTCATCCCCAGGCATGAATTTTAAAAAGTTAACATCTAAATCTACCGCTTCCTCAAAAATAGTAAAACATACAAAAGAAATGTCAGCTGGAAACTTATATTTGCCTCATTTTTAAACAACTCTTCAAGGTATTTTTAACTCTCATCATTTTATTCTGATTTTATACAGAAAGCATGGATAACTTATTCTGATCATTTTTAAGTGTCTGTTTTGGATGGTCACAATTTGAAAAACTGATGTATAAACCATCCACTATACTGTTAAAAAAAAAAAGATGATTCAAACATAATAAAGCTACACAATACTGAAATTATATATGTTTGCTTCTTAATATCAATTTACAAAAAAGCAAGGCTAATTTTTATAAAATAAGCATTTATACACACATACATCTGAAGATAAACTGGACTTTGTTACATGATTTGACGTACTACATAATTCTTTGAAGGTCTGGTATAACAGCCAACCACACACACATTGTACTTCACATACATCTAACTCAGATTTTTTAAAGCACAGTTTATCTTACTTGGAAATTTGCGCTTGTCTTTGGGCTCTCCCGTACACACCAGCACGCCTATGCCTTCTTTACAGCTTTCCATCCAGGTAAAAAGAGAGGCACAGGATTGGCCCAAGATCTTGAGTCTGTTTGCTGCCAAAATGGCAATCGCACCTTTCCGGAACACACGAATCAGTCCTTTGAACGATTTTTTCTTTGGTTTGGCTTCTTCTTGTTTCTTCTCATCTACTGCTGCCAATGCCTGGGCTAGAGTTCTAATTTCCAGTTTGAACAATTCCAAGCTGTTGACTTGCTCCTGGAGGAAGTCTCTCTGTGTGGATAAGGCACATGACCTGCTGTAGAGGGGATACAATGCTCCAGCCATCAGCGCACATGCCGCCAGCAAGCACGTCTGTTCCCTCTGAGTCTTGGCCAATGCAGTTTTGAAATGTGAATTCTCACGAACCAGTTGTTCATGTGAGTTCTCAATACGGTTCAATTTTTCCATGTTCTTCTCTGCAATTTCTTGAAATTTCTATAAAAGAAGTCAAATAATATATATAATCTTGGAACAAAGAAGTATTTTACTAATTTTTGTTAATACAAAGAAATATACTTTGGTTAAAACTACTAGTTCCCTTCAAAAAATCTGTTATAAAATATCCAAATGGGTAGCAGTGGATCAGACAGCTTAGATCTGAATGTGCACATTGTCTTTGAAAATCTCTATTTACATAGAAGCTTCACATAAACCATGACACATAAATTTGCTAGCATTTCATGAATTCCCATGTACTTGCATATGAATACACATATGTAGAAAGGGAAATATGCTTTCTGGGCCTAATTTCTCCTTTCCATTCCTCAATAATTATTATTTCCTCTTAAACAGAAACTACACTGGAAACTTGGGGGGGAGGGTATAGTAAAAGATACTATTGTTGCCAAAACAAACAGAGTTAAATTAGTGATGGGAGAGGCAGCAGTCGATCAACAGTCTGCCGTTTCTGACCACAAGAGACTGATGCTGAACACAACCTCCTGTTTCAGCTCCTAACCTCCCAAGCAGAGCAGCACACAGCAGCTCCAGAGCAGGAGGAGAGGACGTAGTGAGCTGGGCCTCAGCAGCTCTCTCATCCTCTTTCCCTAATTAACATCCTTAGAATTCAAATTTGAACTTGAACCCAAAACTGAACATTAGCTGGAAGAACCACATTTTAGTAACTAGAAATAAACTGTCTATCTACGAGATCTTATATGCAGTCATTATGGTTTGTGGAGGTAAAGGAGAAATGGTTTTAAGCTGATAGATTCCGCTTCACTATTCACTTATCTTTCAGTAAATATTAGAAACAACTCAGAGTTCAATATGCTATGAAAACAGAGAGGTCAATCATCATTATGGTGCAGTGCTACAGTAGATACATGCCAGGTTGTCAGAGCACCAAAGGGCACTTGATGAAATGATGCTGACAAGCTTTTGGAGGGATATGACAATTAAAGGGAAAAAGGGTATGAGTTATGCAAAAGAAAAAAATTAAACCTACACCATTAATAAGGAGGCTAGACAATAGCAACCCTTTAATAATTTAATCTAACCTTGCAAACAACCATGATTTAACAGCTGCAGTTAGATTTTATTTTCAAAGTGAACTTTCATGACATAGCCATGAACCTCTTTCTCTCAAATAGAAAACTAAGGGAGTTCAATTCTAGTATGATAGTCATTTAGAAACAGAGAAATATTATCCTCAGTATCGGCATGATAAAGTCAAGTTCTGTCTTCATAATGAGACTCCTTCGGGACATTAAAGGAACTGTTTCTCTTTGTACTACTGGTTTAAACTGTACTATGTGAAAAATTTAAAGTTGATCTTTGGGAGAGGTATATGATGTCTTATTCAAGAGTTGCCCAGTGAACACCCAGAAGAACAAAAGGCACTTGTAAAATTCACGTTGGCAGGAGAGCCTCAAAAGACATCAACATCTAAGGCAAGTCATGCAAACGCTCGGCCACAGTGCAAGATGTGGTGTCAAAGGCTATCATGGGCAGTGTTGGTAGGCAACAGCACAATGATTTCAAGCTAGCAGACATGACAACCGAGGAAAATAAATCCTAGGAGATAGTTTTCCAAAGACCGAGAGTGGAAGGAGACACTCAGAGGCATAGGCAAGCGGGTGAAGGGGAAAGGCAGGCATAAAAGAAGTCACTGATTGAAAGATTTGATTTATCGTGTGCCTTCCCTTCAGGAAAGGAAAAATTGAATTTTAGAAATGGATTTTCTATCGAATAGAACTGGAAATTGTCTATCAAGTGAGGTAACCAAAGCCCAGAAAGACCAATACCACAGAGTCTCTCTCATAGGCAGATCTTACTTTAGGATTTTTAGAGTTGAATGTTGGGGACAGTAGAAGGCATGTGACAGGACAGTAGAGGTGGGCAATATTGGAGGCAGGATAATTTGAGCAGGGATAGGGCTTAAGGGACAGGAGAGCGGAGGGTATAGAGGGATCATCAGCAAAAAAAAAAAAAAAACTAAGGATGCATGAAAAGGTCATGTGAAAACTAACGTCTAAAAACGTTACAAGCTAACGTCTAAAAAGTTTAAAAGGAAGCACCCTGTACAGATGGACAATGCTGCTTCCAGAGCTCATGGTGCCAGATGTGGGCTGCTTCCTGATGAGTTGTCAGTGAAGGAGACTCCAAGGGTGTCTACAGGAATACAAGCTATTACCTTTGTTCTTCATTGCCTACCACAAGTAGTGACCCTATCCCTGAAGACTGTGGTGTCTTCAGGAACTGAAATGGAAGGTTCCCCCTGCTGGCTAGCTTTCATGGTGCCAGAGGTGCTATGCAGGCTGCTGGGAGAGAAAAGACACCAACAGTCACACCCAGCTGTGAACCCTGCAAGCTGTAAGAGGGAACTGCTAGGCAAGATAGAGCCCCAGGTGCAATATAGTTACAAGACTGTTGTAGGGGTAACCAACCAACCACTTCCTGAGATTTGACACCTCAGTCTACTGAAGGGAATTCCTGCCCAATACTGCAAATATGGTCAAAAGCCCATGGCTGGAGGTCATGGGCCCTGGGGGGTGGGGGTGAGGTATGGGAACAGCTACTACTGCTGTTTTGGTAAATGGACATGTTGTCAAACGCCTTCCCAATATTCATGTTTATACCCCTGGATTCATGCACCATCAGTCTCAGTTAGGAATATTGTGTTTGCTGTGGACAACAGTTAATTAATGCACAGACTCACAACTGACAAAAGTGCTGAGACTGACCGTTGAGTGTTTATCATTAAACAAGACATTGTTTCTATAACGTCCCCCTCCAAAGCTTGAGGACTATTACAGAAAAAGGAGTAGAAAAATGGAAGAGCCAGGGGATGTGGAAGGATGCTATGAAACACTGTCTTCTTACCATGGATGGCTACTGCACTCATGGACTCCCAGGAGCTATGGTTTCCAGCACAAGAACTACACAAGGTCAAAATTCCATCAGCAACAGGGGAGTCGCTCAGGAGGCCCCACCACCACCTGAGGAGCGGTTGGCAGTTAATGGATGCTGGTGGGAGGGGAGTCGTTTTCTCTAGAATTGTTGCTCCAGTAAATAACAAGCAACTTCCATTTACAGATATTAAGTCATAAGAAAAAAAGAAAGGAAGAAGGAGGGGGAAGGGAGGGAGGGAGGGAGAGAGGGAGGGAGGGAGAGA